TTGCTTAACATTTGTATTTTACCAAGTTCAACGTTAGCCCGATTAGTAAGCATTTATCTGTTTCGCTGTAACAATAAGATGTTGTTTGTAATAAGCAGTTTTTTTGCTTGGGGAATTGGACAAATTTTAGTCATCAATTGCTTGGAATTTTTAGTAGTCTGGATACAGAAAAATTTAGTAATCTGGATACATAAAAATAATGTTATTAGAAAGTACCTAGTCAGAAATTCTATCTTTTTTATTTTACTAAATTGTAGTTTTGGAAGTATAGTATGTATTCTAAGTATTCAGTCTTTAGGCAGAACACCCTTACCTATTCCTACTCAGAAATTTAGTGAGGTCTCAAAAATAGAACAAAGGGAAAAGGAAAGGTTGCAAAAGGAGGAAGAAAAAGACGTAGAAAAAAAAAAGAAATCCACTGAAGAAGATCCTTCCCTTTTTTCCGAAGAAAAGGGTATTTTGGAAAAAGAATTGGACTTGAAAGTAAACGAACCGGACTTGGAAGGATCTGATTCTGAATTGGAAATCCTTGAAAAATATGAAAATAAAGAACATATTGTGGCTCTTCTTTTTGATTATAAAAGATGGACTCGGCCATTTCGCTACATAAAAAATAATAGACTTGAACAAGCGGTAAGAAACGAAATGGCACAATATTTCTTTGACATACATAAAAGTGATGGAAAAGATAGAATATCTTTTACCCATCCGATAAGTTTATCAACGTTTTTTCAAATAATCAAAAAAAAGATACCCCTTTTATCATTAGAAAAAGATATTTCTAATAAATTGGACAATTTTTGGGTTTCTAGAAACAAACAAAAATTAAATTCTATAAAAATTGATTTGTTAAATCGAATTAAAAATCTTGACAAACCAGTATCAGTCCCAATACTAGAAATTGAAACAACCAAAACGCGATTATGTATACACAATGATGAGACTAGAAAAGAATACTTACCAGAAGAGTATGATCCCTTGTTAAATGGGCCTTCCCGCGGAAGACTAAAAAAAGATATAACGTTGATAAACGAGACTTCGATCAAAAAGTTGAGAGAGAAGGTTATGCTAAATAGACTTCATGCTTTATTGTTGATGTCTCCTTTTGAAAAAAAGGAAAAAAAACCATTACAAGTTGGTGAGTTCTCAACTTTATCATCGAGTTTCAATTTAACGGATTCAGAACAACTAACAAAATTTTTAGTAAATGTAATTGAGACAGACGATAAAAAATATTCTGCAATAGAAAAAATAGGTAAAGAAGAGATTGGTAAAAAAGTCCCCGGATGGTCATACAAATTAATAACTGAATTGGAACAAATATCGTATTTTAGAAATCCACCAGATGATCATGATATTCGTTCAAGAAAAGGGATAAGTGTATTAATTTTTGAAGAGCCTAAGACTCTCAAAGATAAGACTACAAACAAAGATAAGAATACAAAAGAGACAAATATTCAAGCTATAAAATCCGACAATGATGAGAAAGATAAAAATATGAAAAAGAAAAAGGAAGATGAGGATAATAAGCTTTATTTGTTACGATATCCGCACCAATCTGATTTTCGCCAAGGCTTAATAAAAGACTCTATGCGAACTCAAAGACGTAAAATAGTTATTGAGGGACTTTTTAAAGCAAATGCGCATTCCCCTCTCTTTTTTGACAGGATGAGGAAAAAAACCTTTTTTTCTATACCATACCTGGCTCAACTGAAACGACTTTTTATAAAATGGTCATCCAGAAACGAGTTCGGTATTTTAGAGTCTACAGAGGAAAAAAAAACAATAATAAAAAGAGAAACCAAAAAGGAAAAGAAACGACGAGAGGAAATAGAACGGTTAGAGATAGGGGAAGCCTGGGAAACTTTCCCATATACCCAAATAATAAGAGGTTTGTTATTAATAACCCAATCAATTCTGAGAAAAAAAAATTCTATTACCTTCATTCATAATCGGGAAAAATATAGGGCGTATGCTACTATTTCAAACTCCTGAATGGTCTGAAGATTTAAAGGGATGGAATAAAGAAACGCATGTGAAGTGTACTTATAATGGTATTCCGTTAGCTGACAAAAAATTTCCGGAAAATTGGTTGACAGAAGGTATTCAAATCAAAATTTTATTTCCTTTCTGTCTAAAACCTTGGCACGAATATAAATCACTAACTTCTCGTGATGACTTTTGTTTTTTAACAGTTTGGGGAAGGGAAACAGAACACCCTTTTGGTCATCCACGACAAACACCTTCGTTTTTCGAGCCTGTTTTTAAGGAACTTTACAAATTTGTAAAAGTAAAAATCAAATTTTTAAAAAAGTTTTCAAAAAAAAAAACAAGTTCAAACGAAAAAAGAACAATACACCCGAGTTTAATAAAAAAAGAAAAAGATGATCAAATAAATAACCAGATAATGAATCAACCCTTGAGTAAAATTGAAAAAATTACAGATTGGAAAAATTATTCACCGATAGACAAAATACAGGCTATTACTCATAGGACAAATACAATTAAAAAAAAACTAGAAAGAATTACGGAAGATAAGAAAAGGCTGACTCTAGAACTAGATATGAGCCCTTACAAAAAAAGTTCGAGATTAGCCTTGTCAAAAAATTTTTGTCAAATGTTAAAAATAAAAAAAAATAGATTAAGATATAAATTTCATTATTTTATAAAATTATTGATTCAAAGAATATCTAACTATATTTTTTTATATACTATATCTATTTGCCAAATGACTGAAAAACTCTTTGTGGAATCAACAAAAATGAACTCTCTTTCAAATATAAAAACGCATAATAATAAGCGTTATAAGGAAAAGCCAGAGAATTTTGGTGATTTATCTAACTTGTCACAAGCATATGTATTGTACAAAATATCACAAAGGAGTTTTTTGAACGTATCTAATTTGATGTCTGTTCTTCAACAAAATGGAACATCTTTCTTGATTGAAAAGAATTTCTTTATTAAAAAAAAAATAAAAGACTCATTTCATAAACAAGGAATACTTCAATCTGAAGGAATAAAAAAAGAACTTAAGCGGTCTAGAACGAGTCAATGGAAATTTTGGTTAAGAGGGAATTCTCAATACGATTTATCTCCTAATTTCTGGTCTGCCTTAAGATCACAAAAACAAAAATGGAGAAATAGGGCGAATCGCTATCGTAGGTCTAAACAAAAAGATTTACACAAAAGGAATTCCAGTAGAAAATTAAAATTAAATAATTACAGGAAACAAAAGGATGCTAACTCAGTATTTAATAAAAAAAAAAAAGATAATTTTAAAAAATGCTGTCAATATGATCTTTTAGCATATCAATACATTCAGTATGAAAAAAATAGTGGACCCCCTCCAGGAGCTAAACGGGAAACGATTTCTTATCATTACAAGATGTCACAAAACAACTTGTTTGCGATAACGAAAAATCTTCCTATCACTAGTTTCAGAGAAAAAATAGAAAGGGTCAATATCCCCTATACAGACAAAAATTTAGAGAGAAAATATTTAAATTTGAAAAAGATTAATTTTTCTCTTGATAAAAAAGCGGATATTGAGTCCTGGATCACGGGTAATGATAACAATACTCAAAGTACTCCAATTTTCACTTATAATTATCAATTAATTGATAGAATGGAAGAGATTGTGAAAATTGAGCAAATTTTTAAAAATGAAAAAGATCCTTTTGCTCTTTTGATTCAGACAAATACCGAAGAAAGGAATCTAGTAAATTCTAAAAATTCTTTATTGGATTGGATGGGACTGAATGAAGCAATACTCGACCGTCCATTAACGGCTGAGGAACTTTCGGTCTTCCCAGAATTTCTGTGGTTTGTTAATATATATAAAATGAAACCATGGATTATACCAAGCCAATCACTTATTTCTAATTTGAATCTCAATGATGAAATGACGAATCAAAAGATCGGTAAAATTAAGAATAAAAACAAAGATAAAAAGGATAAAAAGAAAACTGAGGGTGAAACCAAAGGTAAAACTGAGAGTAAAAAAAAAAGATAAAGCCGAGGGTCAAACCAAAGGGGAAACTAAAGGTGAAACCAAAGGTGAAACCAAAGGTGAAACCAAAGGTGAAACCAAAGGGAAAACTGAAGGTGAAACCAAAGGTGAAACTGAAGGGGAAACCCAGGGGGAAACTGAAGGGGAAACTGAAGGTGAAAAGAAAAGTCAAACTGAGATAGAACTAGAGTTATTCCTGAAAAATTATTTATTTTTTCAATTTAGAGAGGATGAGGATGTTACTTTTAATCAAGGCCTTTTCCAAGATCTCCAGATCTATTGTCTCTTGCTTAGAATGCTAAATCGAAAAAAAATGATGCTATCATGGATTCAAAGGGAAAAGTTAAATTTGGGTCTAATGCCACAGATGAATCAGGAAGAGAGTATTCAAGATTCAAAAAATTCAAAAAGAAATGTTCCAGATTCAAAACAGAGTGTTCCAGATTCAAAACAGAGTGTTCCAGATTCAAAAAATTCAAAAAGAAATGTTCGAGATTCAAAACAGAGTGTTGCGGATTCAAAAGAGAGTGTTCCAGAATTTTTAAAAAGGACGGGATTTTTGGTTGACCCCCTTCCGCTGTCTATCAAACCAAACGGAGAATTTCTTATGTATCAAACCATAGTTCTTTCATTGGTTCATAAGAGTAAAGAAATTCTTAATCAAAAATACGTAAAACAACGAATAATTCGCGCTGAAGAGAACAATAATTGTGATCCGCTTCTTATTGAAAATATTTTATCATCTAGGCGTCGTAGAGAATTAAGAACTCTAATTTGTTTCAATTCAAACAAATGGAATGGCGTGGATGCAAATTCTCTAGTTTCCAACAAAAATCAAGTTTGGGAGGAAAGTAACCCTCGGCATAAGGATCCGAATAAATTGATTGAATTTTTTCTTTGGCCTAATTATCGATTGGAAGATTTAGCTTGTATGAATCGTTATTGGTTTAATACTAATAATGGGAGTCGTTTCAGTATGTTAAGGATCCATATGTATTTACCATTGAAATTTAATTGGTGGAAATTTAATTGATAGTAGTACTATCTACCCTCTAGCAGGGTAGATGGTACCAGGTTAGATGAAAAGCAATGAATGGAAATATACCTTATTTTAATTTGTATCTAACTGAATCGAGGATACCATATATTTATTTAGATCTATATAGATACTTTCTCCCTCATCCAAAGAATATTAAGTTGAAATAATTCACTTTTATTTTATTAATGAACCCGAAAAGAGAGGGTTTTCTTTTGATTTGAATTGATAGACTTAGTTAGAAGAATTCTTTTTTAGCAATAAATGTCTTTCACATCCAGTGATAACCTGTAAATCATTTTAAATGGCAGTTCCAAAAAAACGTATTTCGAAAGCCAAAAAGCGTATTCGTAAGAACATTTGGAAAAGAAAGACTATTGAGGTAAGATTAAAAGCTCTTTCATTAGCAAAATCTCTTTTAACGGGTAAGTTTACAAGTTTTTTTTACAAAAAAAATAAAAAAACATTGGATTCATTTCTGTCAAGTTGATTTCTTGTATAATATTTCTTCTTTTTTCTTATCATTTTCTTTCTTTATTTTTCGTTAGTTCGTTTTAGTTACTAATCAATTATTTCATATCTATGAAATAAATCTATAACTTAATTATAAAAAATTATTTTAAATGCATATTATATATCAATGAAGGGAGTTCATTTAGTTTATGATAAAAAACTTATCTCTTTCGACTATTTATAAAAACCAAAACCAACAAAACAGAGGTTCCGTTGAATTTCAAATATGGAATTTCACCAATAGAATACACCGGCTTACTTCCCACTTGAAATTGCATAAAAAAGACTATTTATCTCAAAAAGGTTTACGTAAAATTTTGGGGAAACGACAACGACTTTTAGCTTATTTATCAAAAAAAAATACATTGCGCTATAAAGAATTAATTGATAAATTGGAGATTAGAGAGACAAAAACTCATTCATTTTGAAGTTGTATAGCTTTTAGAACCTATTTTATACGTAAATTTTAGAACTACAGTCTGGGTACTGAAACAATTACAAAAGAATAGCTCAGGGTAGTGAATAGAAAGACATCATGTCCTTTTGTCTATTGATTCTTACTGTATAAATTTGAAGGGATTTTTTATTTAAAACTTTAAAACGGCAGATTTAGTTAATTCAAAAAAGAATCCTTTTTTACCCTATTAGGTAGTTTGCGTAGTTATAAAAAAAATGATAATATTAAAACATAAAAATTGATAATAATTTACCAAAAAACATAAAATAATTTTTTTTTTATTTTTAAAACCAATCCAGAAATCTAGTGATTAGAATTCTTCTGAAAATTCATTGAGTCATATAGTATCTAAAAACCAAGTATCTTCTAATTTTATATTGCATAAAAATAATATTTGGAGGATACTATATCGATAATTCATAAAATTTATAAATTTATTCGTTCAATGGCACATTCTGTAAAGATTTATGATACATGTATAGGATGTACTCAATGTGTTCGAGCCTGCCCCACCGATGTTTTAGAAATGATACCATGGGACGGATGTAAGGCTAAACAAATTGCTTCTGCTCCGAGAACAGAAGATTGCGTAGGCTGTAAGAGGTGTGAATCCGCTTGCCCAACAGATTTCTTGAGTGTTCGAGTTTATTTATGGCATGAAACAACTCGCAGTATGGGTCTCGCTTATTGATCTGGTCCAGAAAAGTATATTTGAATTCATTCTATTTTTATTGAAAACCCGTGCTCTAAAATAAAAATATTTCATATTTTGTAGCACGGGTTTCATAAATTTTTAGCTTTTCACGAAGTAAAAAATTAATGTCTTTTTTTTTTATTTATTCCAAAGATTCAAATATTAAAGAATAAAATCTTTTTTATGTTCGCGAAAATGAACCATAAGTATGTAGACCTAATCCAATTAAATTGACTCCAAAATAGCATATCCAAATAATAAGAAAACCTATAGATGCCACAATTGCCGAAGTAGCACCTTCAAAAGTTCTATTTCTTCGAGTATGTAAATAAATTGAAAACACTATCCAAGTAATAAAAGCCCAAGTCTCTTTTGGATCCCAACTCCAATAAGATCCCCACGCTTCGTTCGCCCACAAAGCCCCCGAAAGTATTCCTATGGTTAAAAAGATAAACCCTAAACTAATAACTCGATAACTCCAATAATCTAATTCTTTACTTAATTGAATCTTATAAAAATTGTTAGCCGAAAAAATATAATTCATTTGAAAAATATTTTCATTTTTTCTAAAGGTAATGACCATAAGTGCTACTGATAATAAGGAGCCACATATAAGAGCTGCGTAACCCACTATCATCATACTTACGTGCATTATTAACCACTGAGATTGAAGAGCGGGGACTAATATTGAATATTTCTTAATTTCTGTGAAAAGACCCGAAGTAGCAAAAGCCTGGATAGAAAAATCAATTGGGCTTATTATTGTACTTAATAATTTTGTATTTTTTTTTAAATAGGAAAGGCTATTAATAAGAGCAAAACTCCAGGAAAGAAAAAGCAAAGATTCCGATAAATCACTTAGTGGGAAATGGCCTGACGAAATCCAATGAGTAGCTAATAATCCTGTTATACATAAAAAAGTTATGAAAATGCACTTTTCTGATGAATTAGAAAGTTTTATGTTTTCATCGACGAAAAAGATTCTCAAATAAATTTTAATTAAAATTGAAACGAGTATTATTGAAAGTGAAATATTACTTAGTATATGTTCTAAGGTTGAAACTATCATAAAAATTATTAAAAAAAATAAAATAAGATTTTAACTCTGAATTAGATAAGAAAAAAAATGAAAAAGAACAAAAGATTACTCTTATTTTTTATGCCGCTACTCGGACTCGAACCGAGATGCGCTAGCACTGCTTCCTAAGAGCAGCGTGTCTACCAATTTCACCATAGCGGCATGTTATTTACTTTCACTCATATCTTTTACCCATTTATAGAATTTATCGAAACGGAAATTAGAGTGATGGGCGAACGACGGGAATTGAACCCGCGCATAGTGGATTCACAATCCACCGCCTTAATCCACTTGGCTACATCCGCCCCCAACTAAAATATGTTCTTTTCAAAAAGGAATCAATAAAGGAGCAATAACCACTTTCTTGTTCTAGACAAGAAGGCGGAATTGCTCCTTTATTCTATTTTAAATAGATTCCCTATCTATATACTAAGAGACAAAGTCTCTAGCCATTTGTAGCTATAACTTGGATAGCAGCTAGGTCTAGAGGGAAGTTGTGAGCATTACGTTCATGCATAACTTCCATACCTAGGTTAGCACGATTAATTATATCAGCCCAAGTATTAATTACCCGGCCCTGGCTATCAACTACGGATTGATTAAAATTGAACCCATTTAAATTGAATGCCATAGTGCTGATACCTAAAGCAGTGAACCAAATACCTACTACAGGCCAAGCAGCTAAAAAGAAGTGTAATGAACGAGAATTATTGAAACTAGCATATTGGAAAATTAATCGTCCAAAATAACCATGAGCGGCTACTATATTATAAGTTTCTTCCTCTTGGCCAAATCGGTAACCTTCATTAGCCGATTCATTTTCTGTGGTTTCCCTGATCAAACTAGAAGTTACCAAGGAACCATGCATAGCACTGAATAGGGAACCGCCAAATACACCAGCTACGCCTAACATATGAAATGGGTGCATAAGAATATTGTGCTCAGCCTGAAATACAATCATGAAATTGAAAGTCCCAGAGATTCCTAGGGGCATACCATCAGAAAAACTTCCCTGACCAATTGGATAGATTAAGAAAACTGCGGTAGCAGCTGCGACCGGAGCGGAGTATGCAACCGCAATCCAAGGGCGCATACCCAAACGAAAACTAAGTTCCCACTCACGCCCCATATAAGAAGCTACACCAAGTAAGAAGTGTAGAACAATTAGTTCATAAGGACCACCATTATATAACCATTCATCAATGGATGCCGCTTCCCATATTGGGTAAAAATGTAATCCTATAGCTGCAGAAGTTGGAATAATGCCACCTGAAATAATATTGTTTCCGTAAAGCAGAGATCCAGAAACAGGTTCACGAATACCATCAATATCTACTGGTGGAGCAGCAATGAAGGCAATAATAAATACAGAAGTTGCGGTCAATAAAGTCGGGATCATCAAAACACCAAACCATCCAATGTAAAGACGATTTTCAGTGCTAGTTATCCAATTACAGAAACGACCCCATAAGTTTTGGGTTTCGCGTCTCTCTAAAACTGCAGTCATGATCAATTCTTGGTTGATTTAATAATCAGGGACTCCCAAGCACACGAAATAAAAAAAAAAATAGAAGAAATAAAGGCTTGTTATTCAACAGTATAACACGACTTAGATATTCGTGTCAACCAATAGAGCTATCTAATTTGATTCCGCTTTAAGTCAAGTGAATTTTCTCCATCTCATTTAAGCATGACGATTAGGTACTCATAATTACAATCCGGAACTAGTTAGTTCGAGTAAAGAATGTTTTTGTGAATAAGTGTTCTTATATATATAAATTATCTATTATCTATATAAATTTTAAAAAAGTGAGAACTAAGCTTACCCTTGAATTAGACTTTTGTAAAAATAAAAATTTTTGCATCTCTTCATAATTTGGTAAAAATTTGAATTTGACAATATACATGAATTTTTAAAAATTAATCTGCTCTTTGATACAAACAATATCAAAATACCAAATCCGCCTTTTATAAACTCGACTCCAATTTGAAGAAGCATTTGAAAACGTAAAATAAAAAATTTGTTCTTCCGATGTAAAAAATTCTTCTAAAAATTCCGAGCCCAAGCTTTGTAAAAAATCGCGTACAGTACTTTTGTGTTTCCGAGCTAGAGTTCGAGCACAAGAAAGCCTAAGTATATACTTTATTTGATACAAACTGGTTTTTTTGGAAGAACCACTATAATAATGAATAAAATTTCGGCATATCCGCCC